AATATGTGGTCTCTTGTGCCTGGTCTCTTTCACTTAGCCTAATGTTTTCAAGGTTCCTCCACACTGTAGCATGTATCAGAATTCCATTCCTTTTTATTGCTGAATCATCCACTGAATGCACAGACCACATTTTATTTATCCATTTGTCCACTGAGGGATACTTTGGTTGTTTCCACTTTTTGGCTACTGTGAATAAAGTTGCTATGAACAATTTATGTGCAAGATTTTGTGTAGACATATGTTTTCTGTTCTCTTGGGTACATACCTAGGAGTAGAGTTGCTTTGTCGCATGGTGACTCCCTGCTCAACCCTTTGAGGAATGCCAACTGTTTTCCAACGTTTCTGAATCATTTAATATTCCTACCAGCAACGTACAAGGGTTCCAGTTTCTCCGTGCCCACCAATATCTGTTATTGTCCAGCTTTTCTTATTTTAGCCATCTTATTTTAGAGTGTGAAGTGATATCTCGTTACAGCTTACATTTGCATTTCCCTAACAGTTCACGATGTTGAGCATCTTTTCATGTGCTTGCTGGCCATTTGTAAATCTCCTTGGGAGAAATGTCTATGCCGATCCTTTGCCCAGTTTTTAATTGGGTCATTTGTCTTTTTGTTGTGAAGTTGTAAGAGGTCTTTATATATTCTGGACATAAATCCCTCATGAGATACACAATTTGCAAATATTTTCTTCCATTTGGGGAGTTTTTTTCATTTCCTTTATGACATTCTTTGAAGCATAAAGGTTTTCATTCTGATGAGGTCTAATGTATCTACTTTTTCTTTAGTTGCTTGTGCTTTTGGTTTCTGGAACCAAATGTTACATTAATTTCTGTTCTGGGAGTTCCCAGGCCATTCATATAATACAAATTCAAAACCCAGTCCTGAGTGGGGCACAGGACACAGACTGACTTTTCATTCTCTACTCAGAGTCCAGGTAGACACACAGTCAAACCTCTGCAGGCAGAGTTTCAGCCCCCCCTAGGAAGGAGGGTAAGGCCTTCAAGAGCCGTGTTTCAAGTGCAGGAGTTTAGGCCCTAACTCTCCCCTTACACAGATTCAAAGCTGACTCTCTTGTTCCTGCAAGTTTGTCAAATCCTAGGTCCTGAAACCACCAGGAAAGGTCCAGCCCAATCCCCACCCCACTCAGGACAGCTGCGGCACCAGCCCAACACTTCCTGCTGAACTCTTCCTGGTTCCTGTTACGCCTCTGACACCTGAGGATTTCCCTGTTTTTCTTACGAATGCATTGATGAATTTATTTATTTACTTATTTTTTTGAGGCACAGTCCCACTCTGTTGGCCAGGCTGGAGTGTGGCACAATCACAGCTCACTGCAGCCTCAAACTCCCAGGCCCAAGCCATCTTCCCACCTCAGCCTCCCAAGTAGCTATGACTACAGGTGTATGTCACCACACCTGGCTAATTTTTGTATTTTTTGTAAAGATGGGGTCTCACTATGTTGCCTAGACTGAACTCCTGGACTCCAGCGATCCTCCAGACTCAGCTTCCCAAAGTGCTGGGATTATAGGTGTGGGTTACTGTGTCTGGCCAATACATTTAAGATTTCAGAAAGTTATATTTTATCTATAATTTTTTGTTGGTTATAGCAGAAGTTTTAATTTTGAAAAAATATTTTCTTGGCCTGCCTTTTCCTAGATTTAGAACTGTCCCTCTGAACTTCTCAAGTTCTCTTCTTTGTCACAAAGATTCATATAATGAAGATAACAGAAGTTTTCGAAATCCACGTGACCACAATCCCAGGCTGTGTGTTGGTGCGTCTCCACCTTTCCTTTGGAACGTAATGAAAGCTGCAGTCTGAAGGAGAGCCAAGGGACACCGGGCCCAACCCTACTGCTTGGGCAGTTCCCTCCTGAAACACTGGTCCTCTCAAAAGCATACTGGTTATCACCATGGCTGCTCTTCCAGGGCTCTCATTGGTGGGCTCCAGGGTTCACGCCACACCCTGAGAGCATTCCCACTCGGCCATGGTTCCGCTTCTCCCTGCTACTGCTTAAGAGTCCTCCCGTCTACCCTCACCTCCTGCACTCCGAGAAGAGTAGGAAGAAATAAAGCCACAAAGTGGCACAGGAGCTTTCGCTTGCCGCTGGTGACTGACAGTGGACCAGCGTTGAGGAAACCCAGGGGGTTGTGTGCGATGCAAACCAGTGTGCATTACAGCAAAACCTACAAGGGCGGCAGCAGGTTCAGACCTGTCACTGGTGGGAACTGGGGAA